GAAGACGGGCAGGGAAGGGTGTAGAAAGGGTAAAGGTGATTGCTATTGTGGGGTGTATGTTTGTGATATACTTATGAAGTTAATATCATTTAATGTGAAAAGGTTAGGGGGTACGGTGAAGAGATAGGAGGTGAAATAAGTTGGTAAGAGTAGAGCGTCTAGATTTTTTATTTTTACAAGAGACAAAATTAGAAAAGGTGAAGGGCACTTTATGTAAAATGTTGTGGTTTTTAGATAATTATGATTGGGTGATGAAGGAATCGATTGGAGCCTTTGGGGGCTTATTGTATATTTGGAATAGTTTAGAGTTTGTAAAATAGGGGGTAATTTCAGGTGATGGTTTTTTGTGTATTATAGGAGAATGGGGACCTAAGAAGATGAAGTGTAATTTTGTGAATGTTTATGCCTCAAATGAGAAGCAGAAGAAAGTGAAACTATGGGAAGAACTTCAGCAAATGATAATGGAAGAGGAAGGCAGATAGATGATTGCAGGAGATTTTAGCGTAGTTAGGAGTCTCAACAAGAGGAAAGGTAAGACAGGGGAGTCTCAAGATATGAGGGAGTTTGATGATTTTGTAGTGTCAACTAGGTTGGTAGATCTTCAATTGGAAAATAGGCATTTTACATGGTATAGGCCAGATGGGTCATCTATGAGTCGTTTAGATAGGGTCCTGATGTCTGGTTAGATGTACAATTTGGGAAAGGGATGGGTGCAGCAAGGATTGAAAAGGATTGTGTTTGATCATTGTCCTATTGTGGTAAAAACAATAGTAGCTAATTGGGGACTAAAACCATTTCGAGTTTTGGATGCTTGGCAACAGCACCCATAGTTTAAAAAGGTGGTTGAGGATAAATGGAAGGAGTTAAATGAGGAAGGGTATGCGAGATACATATGTAAACAGAAGCTAAAGAGGTTGAAGGAATATTTAAAAGGATGGAATAAGGAGGTCTTCGGAAATATGGAAGCATAATTTCAATGTGTGGCCAATACAGTAGGATAGATTGATTTGAAGAATGAATTGATAGAATTGGAGGAAGGAGAGGTGGATCTAAGACAGGAAGGTTTCTAGTAGTTATGGGATATTTTGTGGAAGAGAGAGGCTATCTGGAAGCAAAAATCTAGAAGTGATTGGGTTCAATTGGGGGATCAAAATACGAGATATTTTCACAAAATTGAAAATGGGAGGAAGGCCCAAAACAGTATCTCAGGATTATGGTCTAATGGTCAGTGGGTAGAGGATGAGATGGTTAATTACTTCTGCAATATGTTTTAGGAGGACTCTTAGAACTGACCCAAACCTTCAAATTTGTTTTCCGAAGAATTTCTAATGATCAGAATGTGTGGCTTGAAAGGCCTTTTACTATTAAGAAGATTGAAGAAGGATTGAAGAGTTGTGATGGAAGTAAAGCTCCAGGGCCTGACGAGTATAATTTTAATTTCCTTAAATTCATCTAGAATAGTTTAAGGGAAGACTTTGTTTATTTTTTTTCAGGAATTTCATTAGAACAGCAGGTTAGTGAAAGGGTTGAATTCTTCTTTTCTTGCATTAATTCCGAAGAAGCTGAGCCCTAGGGAACTAAAAGATTTTAGGCTTATTAGTTTAATTGGATGTATGTATAAGTTGCTAGCGAAGGTGTTAGCTAATAGGCTTAAGGATGTCATGCCAGAGATTATTAGCAAAACGCAATCTGCTTTTGTCGGGGGATGACAATTAGTTGATAGTGTTTTGGTTCTAAATGAAGTTGTGGATGAGGTTCGTAAAAGAGGCAACCAACTTTTGTTTTTAAGGCCAATTTTCAAAAAGCTTATGAATGTGTTAACTGGTCATTTTTGGATTGGATGATGGATATGTTTGGCTTTGGAGATAAATGGAAGGTGTGAATTATGGAGTGTTTATCAACTGTAAGGGTTTCGGTATTGGTAAATGGCAGTTCGACAATGGAGTTTGAAATGGGGAAAGGACTTAGGTAAGGGGATCCTTTCTCCTTTTTTATTTCTGATGGTTGTAGAGGCCTTGCATGGACTGGTTAAAAAAGCAGAAAACAAGGGATTGCTATAGGGGGTAAAGTTGGGTAGGAAGGGGTTGGTTGTCTCTTTGTTACAATTTGCAGATGATACAGTTATTTTGGGTAGGGTTAACAAAGAAAATATTCTCATGGTAAAAGCTATTCTAAGGTGGTTTGAGTTGATGTCAGGGTTGAGGATTAATTTTAGCAAGAGTAGTGTGTATGGGTTTAATATGTCGGACAGATGGGTGAGAGGAGTAGCAGGTGTTTTGCATTGTGGTGTAGGGAAGACACATTTTATTTCCTTAGAAATGCCAATTGGAGGAAATCCAAGGTGTAAAAAGTTTTGGGTTTCGGTTGTTAGTAAGTTTTGTGAGAAGCTTGCCATTTGGAAGTCTGCCTTACTATCCTTCGGGGGTCATCTCATGCTGCTAAACTCGGTACTCTCTGCACTTCCTACTTTTTTTATGTTAATATTTTTTATGCTGAATTTTGTGCTTGCTCAATTAGTTAATATTCAAAGGAATTTTTTGTGGGGAGGATCAGGGGAGAAAAGGAAGATCTTGTGGGTAAAATGGGAGGCTATTTGCTGGAGTAAGGCACAAGGAGGACTAGGGGTTTTGGATTTGCGTTGGAGAAATTGGGTGTTGTTAGGAAAATGGTGGTATAGGTTAGGGGATGGAAGGGAGGGGTTATGGAAATAGGTAGTGAAAGAGAAATTTTACAAGGGCAAGCAAGAGGTGGGTATTATAGATGTGGAGAATTTAAAGGTGTCGCGGATTTGGGGAGACATTATTAGTATAAGTGGGAAATCAGAGAAGTTAAAGAATATGTTAGTGTAGAGGTTTTGGTGGGAGGTTGGGGATGGATGCCGAGTGAGTTTTTAGAGAGATATTTGGGTGGGAAATAAATCTCTACGAGAGTTATTTCCAAGGCTTTTTTAGTTAGCCATAAATAAAGAAGGTATGGTAAAGGAGAATGGGACATGGGAAAGGAGAATGTTGGCAATGGGGCATAGAGTGGCGGAGAGGGAGGATGGGTCGTGAAAAGGATGAGGAGAAAGGGTTGTGGGAAGTGTTGGGGAGTGTACAGCTAAGGAAAGGTTTGGCAGATTCATGGCAGTGGAGGTATGATGTAAAAGGTAGATATATAGTACAGACAACATATGATTTTTTAGCTCTTGTGGAATGCTTGCTTGAGGGCCAATTTTGCAAATTGATATGGTGTAAGTTGGTGCCTTCTAAAGTGGGTTTTTTTGGGTGGAGATTGTGTCTAGATAGACTTCCAACAAGGTGGAATTTGTGAAAGATAGGGGTGGTTTTACAAGGGGATGGTATTGTGTGTGGGCTCTGTAAGGAGGGTGTGGAAGATGTTAATCATTTGTTTTGCACATGTAAAGCAGCTTGATTAGTATGGGTTAAGGTGATTCAGTGGTGGGGTTTGGAGGTGGTGATGTCGGCTACAATGAGGGGTGTGGTGGATTTTTTCCTATGGTGTTTGGGTAGATTGGTGGGTAAGGAGATGGGTGCTTGCATTTTTTTTTGGTCACCTCTTGGTATTTATGGTATTGGAGAAATGTTTTAGTATTTAGGAGCAATGGGGATTTTAGAAAGCAATTATTGGAGTTAATTCAAGTGAAGTCTTATTTCTGGATCAAAAATAAGGTGAATGGGTGTGTTTTCCCATTAGCTCAGTGGCAAAGTAATCCCAAGGAATGTGCAATGGAGCTAAAGTGTTACAAGAGATCTCTCAAACTGTTTACTAAGCATCAGAAGCAACATCCTTCCAAATAGTTTTCTCGGAAGTATGGATTTCTTAGATGGGTAAATTGGGTGGTTGTTTCTTCAGTGTTTTTTGGGTTGTCATCATGTTATGTACATAAACTTCTTTTCTGAATTTATTTGTTGGGAGTATAAGCATTTTATTCTCTCTGTAGAAGGGCAAGAGTACCCCTTGTGCTCCATTTAATAAAATATTTTTGTTTTGTTGATAAAAAAAAAAAATCTCTGCATAAATGTGAGTCGACCAGCTTTAATGATTTGTTGAAAAAGTAGAAGGATATATTTGAGTGGAGGAAAGATTTGCAAGAAGCATATAAGGTATTAGAAAATATGAAAACTACAGAGGAAAGTTGTAAGTGAAGATCACCAAGAATCCTTTGATCATTAGATCTTTTCTAGCTTTAAACATCAAAAGAAAACATCACTATAGACAGCCTAAAAGTTGTGTTTGAATATGTTCATTGACAAAAAAAAAAAAAAAAACCATTGAATTTGTTGATATATGTGTGGACATTGGGAGTGGGGCAACTTTTGATCCATTTTTCCTTGAAGAAAAAGATACGAGGAGCCTAAGCCTAATGAAAGAAAACACATGTTGATTGTTGGAATTCCTAAAGCATCATTGTTCGCATAACTTTGCATCATTCAACAAAAAGTTGCACAAGAATGAATCAACAACTTACTAGATAAGTTTCATATCTCTTTTACAATATTTAAATAACTATTTTCATATATTAATTCGAAATCAAGTATGATCTTGAAAGCATTAACAATTATCTATTGTCTCTAAAGTAATAAAAACATTGAGATAGCAAAATCTATATAGCTTGTTTCTACTCTAAACTTGTGCAAGAGAAGATCTTAGATGGTATAATGCATGAATGAATTGCTATCATCAAGGAGTATATGTTTGCAGGACTTTTGATTTGGAGTTATAATGCACCTAAAAAATAAACATGTGCTTGCGAAAGATGTATAGGCAAACATCTGCCACATGCAGGAATGTGCTAGATATCAAAATCCAATGACTCAATTATGACGTGACTCAAAGACCTACACAACATAATAATGTTTAGATAGACAAAAGAGTAAGCACTTTATCAAAAGAGGTGGAGAATACAACTACATCCATATTTGAAGAAGCTTTGTTATAATCATATTCAACCATAACAAACAATGAAAATAAAGCATCATCAAATTTTGCATTTGCAAGGCAAGGTAAATATCTCAAAATCCTACTTGCACAAATCTTAGAAGAAAGATGTGATTCTAGCTAAGTTTATTTACTTTTCTAAATAATATTACACCATTTGCTTTTTTTTTTTTTTTTTTAAGAAAACTAACCTTTGTCTTGAGAAATTTTTTGGAGGACGCCACTAAAGCCAAAAAGCTTCAAGCACAAGGATTTAATTACAAGATACACCACTTTAAGAACAATTATGAGACAGAGAATCACAAGTTCCCTTATTAAAGCAAAATCCAACACAAGAACACTATTTTTGTGCACAACATAGAGGAATATAAATCTTGTGTAATGACGCCAACTACATGCACCACGAAGGAAGATTATTTGGAAAAGCTTTATAGATGTGCCATGCTTTTTTAATGTAATCTTAAGGAGACCAAACTTGAATGCTTTGCAGGCTATGGTTTCTACGCAACATATGATGATGAAATTTCCTATCCTAAAAGGAATTACAATGGTGATAGGAAGATCCATAAAAGTTTTAGGAACTAGTGTAGTACGCATCTTTAAATAACCAGAAAAGTTAGTGCCACATCCTAACTCTCAAACTTGGAACTTGATTGAAGCTGGTGATATTGTAAAATGAAAAGCATTAATTATTGACCTGATGGACACAAGCGAAGGTTTAAAGGAGCAACTTATTAAACCTATTGATTGTATGAAACTTGTGATATTTGACTCAAAGAAACCTAATAGGAAAATAGATATCAAATTCTAATATGGATCTTGAGTTTATCATATGTTTGGAAGAATGTTTAAGAGATAGTAAATTGTGTTTGCATCAAAACAGACCCTAAATTTCGTGTCACACGCTGGGCATGAATCCAAAAGCTGTGTTAGTCAAACAAAAGATGTGACAATTTGATGTTAAGAGGATTATAGCTATATCAAAAGAGGTGATGAAGCTAAAAGAAGTAGGATTTATGAAAGAAATTACCTTTTGTGATTGGTTATCCAATGTTATTGTGGTAAAAAAGGTGAAGGATAAGTGGCACATTTGTGTAAATTTCACATATCTCAATAAGGTGTGTCCCAAAGGTAATTACACACTTTGAAATATAGATGATTTGGTAGACAATTCCTCTAAGTATATGGTATTTAGCTTGGATACAATCAAATCCTAATGGCAAAAGAAAGTCAAGACAAAATAGCTTTTATTATAGTTAGGGAGGCATATTTCTATGTAGTAATGCCTCTTTTTTTTGAAGAACGTAGGTTATCAATATATTGTAGGGCTATAACATGAAGTTGGATTTGTGAAGTGTACATTTGGAGTGAAAGCTAGGAAATTCTTGGTGTATATGTTGACTAACAGAGGAATCGAAACCAACCCAAAAATGGTCCATGTGACACTAGAGATGAAACCTTTGACTTCAATAAATGAGGTATTACATCTCATGGGAAAGGTAATAGCATTGAGTAGATTTTTATCAAAGTATGTGGAAGGTGCTTATTTATCTTTAAAACTCTACACGAAAGCAAAAGCTTCGAAAGGACAACGTCAAAAGGGCTTTTGACTTGCTGAAGACGGATCTTTCATTACCAGCTCTGAACTGCAAACTAATTCCAAGGGAAGTGTTGTATTTATACATAGCAACCACTACCAAGTAGTCAATGCAACTTTAGTCAAACAAGATGAGAAAGAGCAAAGGCTCTTGTGTACTTTGCTAGAACCTAGGATAAGGTACACACCTTATAAAAAGATGGCATACGTAATTATCATAATAGCCAAGCGACTCAAGTATTGTCTCCTTGAGCACTAAGTTATGGTTTTAACTAATTATCCTTTGACATATGTGTTGAATAAGCCAGACTTAGGGGGAAGGTTAGTAAAATGAAACATTGAGCTCATCAAGTTCGAGATACAATTCTAATCTCCAAAAGCTATGAAAGCACAGGTTCTGGTAAATTTGTTAATAGAATTGAGCAAGGAAGAAAAAGCTGTGCTTAACACAACTTTATCAATTTCTCTTGCAAAACAACAATCACGAAAGAAAGAAGAACAATCAATGAAGATGCCACCAAATCTACAATGGACTTTTTATATAGACGAAACTTTCAGTGAAAATGGGAGTGGAGAAGAAATCATACTCACATCATTGAAAAGAGAAACATTTGAATACACACTAAGGTTTGCATTGGAAGCATCAAATAACAAAGCTAAGTACAAAGCATTACTTAGTAGACTCAAGTTAGTGAAAGCTGTGAGAGCATAATATTTAAAGATAATCAGTGATTCCCTATTAGTGGTAAACAAGTGAAGGACGATTTCAATTTATAAGCGAAAGCTATGGTGAAGGACTTAAAATAAACCACGTAGCTTTTGTAATCGATATTGAATATAAACTCTACCATTTGAGAAAAGTTTAAAACTTAAAAGCTAATGCGTTTATAAAACCAACTAGTTTTGAAGTCATAGGATCAGGAAAAAAGTGTGTCTTGAAGAATTGAACTCCCTCTCAATATTAGGAGAAGAGATATTAGACATCCAAGAAGAATTAACTTGGATGGAACAAAAAATACGTATTCAACAGAGATTTGCCCAAAGATAAAGAAGAGGCACAAAAGATGAAATGAAAAGTTATGTGGTATATAATCATCAATGATCACCTTTATAAAAGACCATAAATGCAACCACGGCTCAACTGTTTAACACCGAATGAAGTGAGGATTGCAATGGAAGAAGTCCATGAAAAGGGAATGCTCTAGTCATATAGTAGTGTACTTTTTATTACATAAAATCCTCTAACAAGGATATTTCTAATCAACAATGAAGATAGATGTAAAGGAGTATGCTAAAAGATGTGATAAATGACATAGGTTTGCACGAATTCATGCTAGGTGTTAAATCCTTTGTATATGAACCAAAGCTGTGGCCAAGACAATAGAAGAAAAAATTGAAGAATTTGTGAGAATACATTATATGCAAGTTTAGAGTACCAAAGATCCTTGTCACAAAAAATGGAACTCAAATTGCTAACAAAGCTTTCAAAGACTTTTAAACGAGCACAAAATTTGGAAAGAAAAAGATCATGATCAAAGCACAACTTGAAAACGAAGGAAAAACACTTGAACAAATTGAGTAAAAGTCTACTTCAATGGTGTAGTAGCAAATTAAGCTATACTGGAAGATCTAAAGGAAAAAGTATGAAAAGTAAAAGGTGCATGGATAGAGGAATTATCTTACACCTTATGGTTAGTAGAACTATTTATCGCACACCTATAGGTGAAACTCCATTCAACTTGACATGTGGAATAAAACCGGTGATAAGTGTGGAAACTAGAATCCTAACTCGTAGGACAAGTCATTGTGATGAACACACAAATAAATAAGCTATGAGAGAACATTTAGACGTACTAGAAGAAATCAAAGATCTATCATAAGTGCAAATGATAAATTATCATAAGAGAATAGAAAGATACTACAATTGCAAAGTAAAACTCAAAAGACTTGTACCAAGGAGATTAAGTATTATGAAAGATAGAACTTTTAGAAAAATTCCAAAGAAGGAAAGCTATGCCCAAATTGAGAAGGTCCATACCTTTGCAAAGAAGATTTGGGAAATGTAGCTTTCAAGCCCAATCATCCTAATTGAACTTTAGTTCCAAGGACCTAAAATGTTGTGCACCTTAAAAGCAAAGATTTATTTTACATTGCTAAAAACCACTTCTAAGTGGAACATAGCTTTAAGAATAAAATCTTAGTTGCACACATCTTTGCTCGCTTTTATGTAACATAAAGCTTTAATAGCTTTAGCATCACTTTTTAGCTTTAGACCAAACATGGTGAAAAGAATAAGAACATGAGAATGTTGACCTATTCTTAATGCTATGAAATTCAGATAAAGTTAGTTAACTCAGAATTTTGAGAAAAACTAACTGGAATATGTTTAAGAGAACTAGTTGGGGTGTAAAGTTGTGTCCTGGCCTATCTTTTATATAAGAAATTTGAGGACATGGCATATACTAACTGATTGTTAATTTATGGATCCTCATTAACGAATGAGGATAACTTCACCATAAGAAACTATAATGGCCTATAAGATTGATAGAAAGCTGCACACAATTTCAAAAAATATAATTTGATTATACTCAACTCTAGAATATCAATAGGTCAATAAATGAAAAAAAATACATAGGTTTTGGTATAGTTTCAGTGAAGAGTCACAATACTAGGCATGACCAAAACTTGAGTTAGAAAGAGAGCATTTGTTTAGCAAGCCGATGTTATTAAAACATAAAACCAATGCACTGTAAAATATTAAACATAAAAACATAGATATAGGAATAAAAAGTTCCAAATATAACAAAACAAAGATAAAACATCCATAATAAGAAAAACATTAAAACAACACAACCTAATTGTTTTTCCTAAAATAAGTGTTCTTATATGTACGTTCAATAAGAGGTCTAAAAACCTAAGCATTTAGAGAAGGAGGGACATCTTGAGAACCATTGCATCAACAAAGCTACCTCTATTGTGAATAGCTATAATCGAATCTTTTGTGTCCTAAGAGCCATTTGATACTTCATCTTCCTTAACCAGAGATCCAATTGAACAAACATGTGACAGATTTTGATCATAAACCTTCTCCAACTTTGGATCAAAATAAACCTTCACAATAACATCCATACCCTCAAATTCAATAAGGTGATCATGCATAATCATTTCTCAACGAAGAAGCAACATCTTAATCAACTTACTAGTAAGATTAAAGTAACCCAAGCTACCAGAAAGAGCAAATACTTTACCCTTAGAGGATTCTTTAAAGGTTTGAATAATAGAAGAAATAGAAGCTTGTAAAGGAGAAACCTGTGCCTTTAGTTCAGAAACAGAGCTTTCTAAAGAAAAATTCTTCAAAGGTAGCTCACTCAATTATTGTTGAAGAGAAAGATTGGAAGATTCAAGAGACATCTTCTCAACAGAGGCAATAAAAGAGATAAGTTCTTTCCTCTTTTTTAACAAATCACATCATTCTTAAGGCATAGATAATTCTTTTTTCAATTTCTCAGTTTTGACTAAACTTGACCTCAACGTAGGTTTTTTTCTCAGTATTAATCTTTTCAAAATATAGTTGACAACATAGATTTATCAGACTTGTGCTTTTTTCTCAAATCCCTGCAAGATCAACCTTAGCATGCATGTAACAGAGGTTCAAAATACCTATGAGTTGCAAAGTTTTGGCTTAAAGCAAACTAATTATTGGAACTAACATCATAAGCTTGTGCAAATTTGTGGAATGAATAAAGTTGCATTGAAAAGGCAAAAGAAGGAAGATATAGAATAATGAAAAAACTAAAGACACAGACTTAATCAATCTTTACACTGAGTATCGAAGCTTTTCTCAAAGATGGATGGATCATCAATTAGAAGACCATAATTCAATAGAAACACATCAATCAAAATGCTATTGTGGTATCAACAGCAAAGAAATTACAAAGCTCCTACAAATGAATAATTATAGAAATCTCTATCATTAACATGCCTATTCACTTGTTGTGACATTTTTTAATATCTCTGAGAACATCTCTATTCAGCACTTATTCTTTATGAAGATTCTTCAACAGAGTTATTGTCGTCTCAAACCTTCATTAAGGTGTCTTAAAGTTGTGTTTTTGCTAGACAACCCACCAACCTACTTTTGGTGCAAAACTTTAGTGATATTTGAAGACCTCTCGTCAAATATTTAATTTTAGCAACATCAAGAAAGGGATTATTACAATGCTGTGAATCTCAGTAAAAGCTCTACATGAAGACTCTCAACACGAAGGATAAAGACCTAGAACTTTCAAAAGTTGGAGAGATATATGAGCAACACAGTAAAAGCTAAATATATGAAAATAATGTAGATTCTACAAACCTTTGTGGACAGCATGAATAATGAAAATAGTTCTTAATTCATTGAACTATTTGTTGAAGGGCAAATAGAAGAAGAAATAAATGAAAGATCCTAACCAACAGATAACTTTGCAACCATCAGCTTATTAAAGACCTATAATGTACATCAAGAAATTATGGTAAACGAGTCAACAAAACACTCATCTTGCTGAAAAACTATGCAAAAGAATTGAAGTAAATGGCACAAGGAACCTTTGAATTATGTGGGTTCAAGAGAAAGAAAGTGTGACATAGTCAACAAAGAATGGAATACATCATCTTCAGCAAACGAAGGAATCTTGAAGATCTGCATCAATCAAGGACAAGAATTGAAACATTCACTCAATGCTAAATTTTGAAGATAATAAAGAAATAAAGACGAAAAGACAAGCTGTAGGAAGGTTGATAGATGAAGGAATTGCAAAACCTATGCGAAATGCAGAAGATTTATGAAACACTTAATTCTCATAGAATTTTAAATCAAAGTTGCATCAAATGCTTTGAGTATGGGGGAAGCCTAAGTTATACTCTTTTCCCTTAAGCTAGATTTTTATCCTACAAGGTTTTTTTTAGCTAAGGTTTTTAATGAGGCAGTTATGATTGGAAACAAAACCTCTGCCATGAAGGTTTAGAATCTCTTAAACACAAAGACAAGAAACCTATAATCAACCAAGGTTTTAAACTCCATCTTCACTTATGAAAGTGAAGGGCTTTGCACAAAGTTTTGCTTGAAAAACCTATATAGAGCTCAAAACCAAGTACAACAAAACTTTATGAGAGAGAGTAACCTATTATGAAACTTATGTTGGAATGAAACGAAGCAAGTTTTCACAACACTCAAATTTCCTTGTTGAGGGGCAAATGTTATACCCTAAATTGAGTCCTATGAGAATTAGGACATATGGAGGTATCCTAAAAGAGTTTTATCAAGGTTAGATATGCTAAGTCCCAGTAGAACTGGAATACCCAACACCAACTCGAGTAGAATTATAATCTTAGGGTGATTCCATGTAATATCCTATAAATACCCCAATGTTAGACCTAGGAAAAGGATTATGATTGTTTTTCTTAATTCTCTCTCTATTGTAAGCTCTCTTCATTTTTTATCAATAAAGTACTTGGTTCCACACCATCTCTTCTATTTTCTAGTGTTAACAACATGTAATGATATTACACGTTATCTTGATCGATAATTAAAAGAGATAACTTGTCTTTGTTTTTTTTTTAAGAGGCAAATATGTCGTAGATTTGGGGAGTTTGACCATTGTATCTCAATCACTCATCTTACTAAACTAGACACATGGCAAGATTTGATTGAATGCTATATTTGATCAACTTAATCTAGAATCTAAGTGGATCAAGGCCAAAGTTTTTGCATTAATGGTCTCAAATTTGAATCTTAAAGTAAGTGGAAATATGTTTAATAAAGAAAAGGTAACTTTTTTTTTTGTATAGTTTATCATTAATAAACTAAAAAAATAATGTATTTAATGTAAATTCTTGATAATTGAAGTGACTTTATCACTAGCATAAAAGGTTTTTATATCCTTATGATAAGAGTTTGAATCTAAACTAGTAATTTCCTAATCCCATATTGGAAGAAGAGCAGAATTGTGAGTGATATATAAGTGCAGAGACCAACAACAACAACTTGAACTTAAGCTTTTAAAGGCCTATGGATCTTGCCTTGAAAAGTTGTTAGTTCAGTAAATAGCTTTGACCTTGGTCATTTTAATTGGTATTGGAGTAGTTACCCCTCATACGTGTGAAACCATGCAAGGAGATCTTGTGATTGTGGGCTTAGGCTACTTTGGATTGAACTTGAGTAGGCTTGACAAGGAAATTGTGGGCTAGGCTAGTTTGGATTGAACTTGAGTCGGCTTGACAAGGATGTCAAGGGTTTAAATGAGAGAGATTGTAATATTCCAATATCATATTAGAAGAAGAGTGTTGCACTTTGGCCAGATCGTTTGAATACTCCTCCTTCCTGTCCTCCTTTCCCCATAAGTAGATAAAAAAAATAAAAATAAACGTATTTGATTAATATACAAGGATCACTCCATTTAAAAAAATATTATTGAACAATATTTGGATGATTCTCTCAACTTACAAAAGGATAGTTTATTAATTAAAATATTTTTTTATAAAAGTGGATAATTTAATGAAAATTATGGATTGTATCATAGAGTTACTCTGTGGGAGCCGCTATCTATTAGTAAAAATGTTATTTTCTCTATACTAAATATCTTAAGGAAAAAGTGTTTAGCAAATCGTAATTCTAAATTTTATTTAGAAGATATGTTTAAAAATTTATTTTTTAATTAATATATTTTAAAACTAATAATTAGATTGAAGATTTTATTCATATAAGTTATTTATACTAATTTTTAAATTATTTTAATAGGATTAACCATTTCATTAATTATAAAAAATTTAATATTATTAAATATATGTTAATAAATATTTTTTTTATCAAATGTTTATAAGTATTAGATTAATAAGAAAATTGATTGTTATTTTTTCATTTTTTTCTAAGGATTTAGGGATAATATTTATATTTACCTATAATGCCCTTAAAAAATAAATAAAAGACAAAAAAATTTGTGATTGGATGATTAATTAAAGTGAATAAGTAATAATAAGGTTAAAATAAGGGAATTTTTTTTTTTTACATTTAAAATGAGAAAATGACAATTAATTTGAGATGAATTTAAAGTCAAATAATGACAATTATTTTGAGACAAATGGAATATTTACCTATATTACCTCTAGAAAAAAGTTAAAAGATAAAAGTGAGACCTTTTTTAATAGGATAATTAGTCAAAGTACATGGATAATGATAAGATTAAATTAGGAAAAAAATATTTATCTATTCTAAAAAATGAAAAAATGACAATTAATTTGTGACAAACTGAAAAAAAAAATATATTTTAGGATAGAGGAAGTAGGTTGTAGGCAATTAGTGTTGATGATCATAGAATAAACTTTACTAGATCTATTAGTAGTGGCATGTTGGAAGGTAACTTCATCATCGACTCAGGCACAACATTTACAATTTTACAATCTGAGTTTTACTTAGTTGGAATTATCAGTTGCTCAAGATTCGTGCCAAGAGAGTTTTGGACCCTAATCAAGAATTGAATCTTTGCTATTAAACTAAATCTAATTTCAAAATGCTAAGAATCACAGTGCAATTTGATGGTGTTAATGTGGATTGACTCACATCATCGCCTTCACTCTTTGGTATCTGAGAATGTTCTGTGTTTCGCATTTCTACCTAATTTTGGTGGGGTGGCAACATACAGTAACATTGCATGGTCAAACTTCTTGATTGGGTATGATTTGCTACAGCAAACTTTGTCTTTCAAGCCAATTGATTGCTTCATGCAATAGTTGCCCTATTGCTTTCTGTTTTACTTAGTTTATGTTTTTCTTTGATTATTTAATTTTTAATAAAAGTTTCCTCCTACTTTTGTGGATGACGGGTTTTCTCCATGTCTTTCATGAACTGTGTACTATTCTGAATTGTTGTGATATGTTATACGTGCTTGTATTCTACATAAAAAATTAGTCACTCATTTGAAGGCAATAAAATTGAAGAATTCTTAAATTCATTGCTTTTATTCTTTGGCCTTTATAAGCTGTGATGCCCTAAATTCCACATTTAGTGACTTGACTTTAAATTTTTAAGGGTCTATGGACTTTAACTCGAAGAGTGGTTAGGTTAGTGACAAATTTCAACCCGAGTCATTTTTCTTGGTATCAAGTTGTCACCTCTTGTTGATGTGGGTCTATATTGACTATCATGATTAATCATAGTGTGAACCTCAAATCACTTGAGCTGTATCCATTGCTTATGACTTACTGAGCCTTGTTCTAACTATGTTTGAGCTTGATAAGGACATCAAGCATTTAAGTAGGGGAGATTGTGACACTTTGAATCCCACACTGGGATGGAATTGTGAGTGTGTGGTGTCTAATAATTATGACCAACAACTAAAACAACTTGATCAACTTAAACTTTTGAGAGTTTGTAAACCTTGATTTAAAAAGTTGTTAGACTAGCGGTAGGTTTCGGTTTGGTCATTTCTTAAGATCTCCTCCTCAACAAATTCATTCATTAGAATGACACATAATTGAGAACGATGGATCCACGCACAAATCTTTGAAAGTGAAATGACAACCCTCTTGTCTTCCCTTTTATCATATGAAAGATTGTAATGATATCATCATAACTATTATATGTTGTCCAACTTCAATTTATATTTGGAAAAAAAAAATATTATTTATCCATAAACATAAATACCATTCCAACACTAAAATAGGTGAAAAGTTAGACATATGAGAAGGCTTAATAGAAATCCTTCTCTCAAAAGGTATGATTTCTATACTTGAAAAGATTTGAAAGGGTCTCCTATAGGGTGGGTGTAAGGAGAATAAGGGAGTAAATTAGATAAAATGGGAGAATTTGTGCCAAAATAAGGAGAAGGGTGGGCTGTTGGTCAAGGATCTTAGGTTGTTTAGTGCAGCAATGCTTGGGAAGTGGTGGAGTAGGTTAGCTAGTGGTGAAAGGAATCTATGGAGTAAGGTGATTGAAGCTAGATACTGAAAGCTAGGGGCCAATTAGCTTGAGTGGGCGAGAGAAGGAAGAGGAGTAGAACCTTTATGATGGAGGGATATCTATAGGATTAATGAAGAGATTTTAGGAAAAAAAGGTTGGTTGGAATAAAATTTTAGATTGGGGTGGGTGATGGGAGGTTAATGTGTTTTTTGGATGGAAAAATTGGGTAGGAGAAAGGGCTTTGGCTGACTTGTTTCCACTATTGGAAAACAGGGTATATTCGACAGAAAGTCTGTCGAATATAGAGGTATTTTTGTCGATTATGTCTTAATCGACAGACATAATCGACAGCTAAGTATGTTATATAAAATGCAGTTGAAAATAACTATATTCGACAACCAAAATTTTTGTCGAATATACTAATTTAATCAAGAGATATTGGTTGTTGAAGATAAACATAATCGACAGAACTTCATTGACAATAAAGATTTTTTAATTTTTGAAGGTTATATTCGATAGCCATTAGTTGTCGATTAATGCTATATAATCGACAACTAATAGTTGTCGAATATATATATATATATTTTTACGATACCATATTCGACAGCATATACTTGGCAAAAAAATTAAAAAAAAATGAAAAATCAACAAAATCCAGAATTAATCTTATATTATTTGTTAATTTTATATTAAAAATCAGTAAAACAAACATAATTATCAAGTTCCCCAACAATATATTTATGAAACAATTTTAACAATAATAAAAAAAGTAATAGATAATCATAAATAAAATTAAAATGAGCATTAACCTTAATTATTTTGAAATGAGTTCTTGTTCCTGCCAAAAATAATAGAAAAAAATGTATATCAAGTAATAAGAATTTCAAAAAGAAAAGAAGATAGAAAGTATAATCACAAAATTCATAATCAATGTGTCACGCCCCAGAACCCAAATCCGAGGCGCAACAGACGCCGTGCACTCGTGAGACGGGTCCCACAAGTGCACAAGGCTCGGAACTTACTGAACAAAATCAGTTTTAATACCATAAAATTTCCAATTAAAATCTAACTTACAGGAGCGTGGTGTACATGTATCTAAAATCTATGCCAAATCTCAAGTGGCTAGCCTTTTTTTATTTTTTTTTCACGTCACTCCCCTTGATTTATGAGTCTCGGGGCACACTACCTAAAATGGTGGACGAGAAAAATGAGGTGAGATAACTCAGTAAGTAAAATATAGAGTGCCCTTAATTAAACTTACAGCATGCCAACAAGTACAATCACGAAAAACGGATACAGTACGGGCACGAAATAGACGTCTCCTCTATAAGTCACGGCCAGTGTATAATCCCCACTAGCAGGGCCACGATTTGCTGGTGTATAACCCCCACTAGCTGGGTTGAACGAACCGGCTCTATCACTACATGTCGACATGTGCTAGCGTTTGTAACCTCCCCCACTAGCGGGGTCACGAATAACATATCGACATATGCCGACATGTGCTAGTGTTTATAACCTCCCCCACTAGCAGGGTCACGAATAACATGACCACATCAGAGACAAAACAGGCAGAAGTTAACAGGAAAATCACAATTCACAATCACTTTCAGATCATCAGGACAGTCACTTAAATTTCAAGTAGGCATGCTCAATTTAATGAAAAGCATAAAACATTTCACTTCAAATCAGTTATGCTCGTGTAAAACGGGTTTAGTCCCGCCACCACTTCAAAAACAAATCAAAACATGCTTTTAAATAGTACGGGCATTACCATAAATTACTTACCTCACTCCGCAAAACTGAGCACTCAATTCACGTACTAAACTGACAGAACGATCAAGAACCTAATCAAAATATCCACATTATCAGATATCTCCAAATTCGTTCTTATATCACAAACTAATCATTTAAATCCCCGTTAATCGTTGACTCTTGGGGTGTGAACAGTGTTCTGTGAACAGTACACGTGAACAGTGCACGATGTGAACAGTAACTCCGACTTTCACAAATTGGCCAAAATACTAGCTAATTCACGGGATTCTCTCTCCAAAATCACCACAACCCATTTCAAGCTAATTCACACTTAAACCAAGCTTAAAAACATAACTTAATCTACCAAAATTTTTCCCA